TCACAGGGCTCCATATTAAACTTGAGGAGTTTTAATTTGAGAAAGAAGACACTATGTAATACAAGTACCTGTATATTTACCCAGCGCACTATAATCATTTATAAATAAGGTTATAAAAATAACTAAATTTTCCCTATGTTAAAATAAGAATGTCTTAACATCCAAAAAAGGAGAGTAGCCTTATAACACTAAGGTCATTGGTTCGGATCCCCATACTGGCCAGATGCCAAAAATAAATTAATTAATTAATGTAATCAAATAAAAAGAGAGTAATACACGAGGATATTTCTTTGTTATAACAAAAATAAAATTCCCAAGATCCCAGCCTCAGCGTTCTAACCCCTGGACCAATGATTCTCAAAGTCTAAACTACCTGCGTAAGAATCACTTCAGGTGCTTATAAAAAATGTAGATTCTAGGGGCCAACTCTCGACTTATTTGGGTTCTAGAAGCTTAGGAATCTGCAGTTTTAACAGATCCCCAGGTGGCTCTTATATGCCCTAAAGTTTGAGAACCACTGCCATAGAAAACCATCATATTCTCAGTAAGTCACTCCTATAATCATTAGAATCTTCCCGTAAACACTGAACCAATGTCCTAAGGCTGGGATCAAGATTACCTTGCCGTCCTTCATCATTGGTAAAGAGCCCAGTGTCACTGCTGCTACACACACTGCTGGTTTCACTGAAAAAAAGAGTAAAACACAAGAGTAAAATAACAGTTCCAATCAAAAACAAAGCACTATACATTCTTTTTGGTTTTCAAATGGAAATATTCCAAGCTTTCCTAAACAGTAGGGGATCAAACTTTTGACCTTGATAACACTGAGCTCTAAACAGCTAACCAACCAGCCCAATACCTAAATATCATAGGGAAGCCACAAGGTGAAGTCCATTCTCCCCTCAAACAAAAGAAATATAAGAGGAGAATTCTAAAACTTTTACTTGTATTTCCAAGTATTTCTAAAATATCTAAAGTCACTGTAGTTTAGGATTAGAAAATTATTTATTAAGGCTCACAGAAGTAATCTTAACCTGGTTTAATGTATTAAACAACACAATTTGCAGATTTATCAACCAATTTTATTTTTAAATATTGCCAACTACCTGTTTCAAATGAAGTGATCCAACTTTAAGACATCTAGCATCTCTTAAGTTCCCCCCCATTTATAAAGCAGCAAACAAAAATCCATAAACAAAAAAAAAATCAATATAGCAAGTTATAATTTCTAAATTTAACATCTTCCTTGATATCAAGCAGATACACAAAACATCCTGAAAAAATGAGCTAACGTTAAAAATATTAAAAAAAACTTCGTTTGGGCCAGCCCGGTGGCGCACTTGGTAGAGTGCGGCGCTTGGGAGTGTGGCAGCGCTCCCGCCGAGGGTTCGGTTCCCATATAGAGATCGGTCC